TTATGGCCATATCATGTTGAAACACCAGTTCTCATACAATCACCAAATTTAAGCAACATCGAGCCTGGTCAATACCTAGATGGGTGACTGCTTGGGAATACTAGGTGCTGTAAGCTTGAATGTGAGGGTGGTGCAATGGATAATGGCTCAGGATAGGAAATTAGAGACCTGAATTGTAATTCCAGTTGGATTTGTTATATTTGTTTATGTGCAAATACCATTGGGAAAGGTATGAATCCTCCTCTTCTACTCCCAGCTATGGGTTAATTAGTAAGATTTGTATCAGTAAATTTTTATTATCGCCACAAAAATTCTTACAATCTAAAAATATTTTCTAGCTTTAAATAACCTGCAAGAAGTTGATGAGCCATAAAAATCAAATCAATCAATAATACCAGTTCTATAAGTTAGTATTTGAGCCCATGGAAAACTAAGATTTTGAATAGTGATTTTCAAGGCAGGCAGGCTCCACTTATAAGACAGATAGACTAAAAGATCACAAGAATCAGAACAAGATTCAATGACATTCCAGAACACAGCAGAAACTTGAAAGGAATGCAGATGAAGTGTTATGTAAGAACAAAACAAATACAAGATAAATGTCCTAAACAACCAGACACAATAGTGAAAATATTAACTTTAACATGTTACTTGACTGAGTAATTGTAATAAAAAAGCAAAGAACAAATATTGTTTTTTTTTAATAAAATTTTGTCATTACTTAATTTATATTATTAACTAATTTAATCTAATAATCTAATAATTTTTAATTCGAATAAGAATTTGATTATAAAAAAGTATCTTTATTATTTATATCTCTGACTTATTCTGATCAAAAAGATACTTCATGCTGGTAGTTTTAACAGATATTAATTTGAAATAAACAAAAATGTTATTAACAGTAACATACTGCAAAATCTTTTTATTTATACTTTTTATTTTTTTTTTAAGCATATCACCCCAAGTAAGGCAGGAGTGCTACTAGCACGCAAGGGGTTACAGAGAATGAGAGCAAGAGTAAAGAGTGGTGTTTGGGAACAGGATAAAGAGAAGGACTGGGATCAAGATCAAGGCATCAGAAGATGTCAATTGACATTACATTTGAATATTTGAAGATTATAGCTATCAGGGAAGCAAGTAAGAGGAAAGGAGTTCCACTGACAGGAATAATAAAAATGATAAAAGAGAAGATATGGCTACATTTAACCATTTCAACAGTGAAAGGGTGGGACTCAGATGCCAAACTAGTAGCACGCTTAAATTCATGCAGTTTGAAAACTAGTGAAAGTAGCTCATTAGAGCAGTTGTCATAAAAATACTTGTAGAAAAGACAGAGGGAAGCCACAGCATGTCTGTGAGAAAGTGACTTCAGAGGAGATGCCAGATCACATTGCATATCAGTCTCTAGATTTTGTCGAGGATCTCAATATGAACAGTGGAGACACCAGACCAAATATGGCAGCAGTATTCAACACAAGGACAAATGGTTGATTTGTAGATGTGAAGGATGGTCTCAGGCAAGAATACACATGCTCATTTAACTATTAATTATAAAAATGAAAGATTGGTGAAAACGGCCAGTTACAAAGTATTCTCATTAAAATTATGGGATCAAAAACTGAAGATTTGTTGGAATACTGAGATGAGGAATTATCACATAATTATGTTTTGCTATTTGGACTAGTATGTACAACTTTGTTGTTATACTTTGAATAGCAAAGTATATAATGGTAAATGAAATTATCTTATAGGTGAAAGAAGAACAACATTACACATGCAACTTGTAATTTTTAAAAATTTCATTTACAAATTATGGAATGAATTAGAATGATGCTTCTACAAGTATTATAAACAAATAGATATAAATGAATAAAAAAATAATAACTTCTCCTTTGTAACATATAGATAATAAATTATCTTTTCTATTATCACATGTTAGTTAACAGCCTATGGAATGGATGTTACTTTTAATGTTTAACTTCACTTACAATTTAAGGGTTACTTGGTTTGTATAGCTTTGGATCATTGTTAGTTGATTTGTATAACTTTGGATCATTGTTAGTTGATTTGTTTAACTTTGGATCATTGTTAGTTGATTTGTATAGTTTTGGATCATTGTTGGTTTGTATAGCTTTGGATCATTGTTAGTTGGTTTATATAACTTTAGATAATTTTTATAGAGCACCAACTGGGGAAGGAATTCTCTGACAAAAGCTTGGATATTAGCTCCTGTATTCCAGTACTTTTCACAAATTTGTAGACAATGCACAGTAGTATTCAAGTTCAAATTCAAGGAAAAGTGAGTTTCTTTCGTTGTATAAATTTTATTTTGTTAGGTTTAATAAAGCAATTGCAAATATGCATGTTTATTAAATGTACAACTTTTAAAGTATTTGTCTTTTTTATTTTTGCACTAATGAAAAAAGGGAATGATGATATTTGAAACTATTATTTCCAGTGTTTAAAGCCAACATTATTACTTCTAGGTTTTTGCAATATAAATTTTAATAATAAATGAAAAATAGAACAACAATCTTATTCCATGGTGGTTAAATTCAATTGACTTGATGATATTTAGCCGAAAATAATTTGTAATAAAAAAAATCTAAAATGAAGGTGAAGATCTGGATAATTAGCACAACAGTAGAAGCAGTTACATAATTGTGAGTAAATTGGATCAATTTTTGGTATATTTTCTTCCCCAAAATTAAATCTGCTGAAAGCAGAATAAATTAATTTGTACATTTTTTCTCTCTATTAGAGAGTAAATATAAATTATTAAAACATTTGAGAGCAATAGGACATTTTCAACATTATACAAAATAAACATAAAAATGTCATACTAGTGAATTTCAATGACTAAATATAGTAATTAATAAAAATATTTTCAGTTTTTATATATTTACTTAAAATAAGAGAGAATTAAAATTTTTTAATGTCATCTTTAAATATGCAATTAATACTATTAAAATTTAAAACCATTTTTATATTATTGTGATGTCAGAGGTTTTAAATACTTGTTTTTTTTGCATTTAAACATGCTCTTATTTATAATATAATATTACACAAATTCTGGTAAAAAAACACAGAGAATAATTTTTAAAATATTTCTGTATTTACAGAAGAAATATAGAAACAGCTTGGTTCGCTAAAGAATTTACTAAATATTCTATTTTTCTACAAAAATGATTATTATGAATAAAAAATAATTTTCTAATGATTCCATAATAATAATAATAATCCATATATATATATATATATATATATATATATATATATATATATAGATAACATATATCCATAATATAATAATATTGTAATGTGTTAATTTTGAAGGTGATGATGATAGACTCCTTCTAAACAACTTCAAACTCAAATTATTTTGTTCAATATAAATTAAATTTGCATTAGTTTATTATTATATATGAATTTAACATTTAAGTTATTTTTATTTTTAAGCTAATTAATACATTAATCTTCATTTGAAAGAATTGGTTTTTATGTCCTATTTTCGCTTTTTCTAATGAAGCAACTTTCAGTAAGAAATCACACAGCTACATTTAGTATAAAACAACTATAGTATACTGAAAGGTAAGTCACAATTTCTTTTTAATAAAATTATGCAAAGTGTATAAGTCACCGAAAAATATTGAATTTCTTAAGGTTTGTAAAATGTTAACTTGGATACTTGAATAGATAATTGAAATGAGGTTATAAAACATGCATGAGCTTATCTCTATGTGCTAAATAACATAAGTTAATGTAATGAAAGTGAGTAGCATTTAGTATATTTGCACCAAGTTTAGCTTTTAAGATAAGTAGCAATGACAGAGTTTTTAGTCATATTTTTATCTAGTTAGATTGACAAAGGTAGTTATACATAGTAAGTTAGTAAAATGACTGCTCTACAATTACTAACAGTTGATTCTAGTAAAGCAGATTGTTGAATCTCATTTCGGAAAGATAATACTCTTGTAGCAACACTGTTTCTCATTTGAAGTGAAATATGTAAATAATAATTCTAGAGCTTTATGGTATACTTTGTTTGAGAGACATACTTGTAATCCTTGATTTATTTCTGTTATCTATCTTATCAAGCAGATTGATTCAAAGTATTTGTTATTATTAAGAGGAAAAATCAAAATAGTTTTTGATTGTTTTATTATTATTTCTAGCATGTTTGAAATTTTGGTTAAAAATCTTGTTTTTCTTGCATCAGTGTGTGGGCCAAAGATTAATATGGGAAATTTTGCATCTTTTTTTGCAGTAAAAAGCACATTGTTTTGGAAATTCTTGTAAAAATCAAATCAGTATTGGATTTTAATTAAATTTTACGGACTTATTCACAAATGAATTAAATTATTTAAAAATTTTTTTTTTTAGAATATCTTGGTAAAAATATTTTTTTTTACATGTTACTCAATTTATGAAATTTTGCGAAATTAAAATTCTACCATCTTCATATTTATATTAGTTAAAAGCAGAAATCCTTGGAGAATTTTATAATCAATTTGTTTTTGTCTAAAAGAGAAACACCATTTATCAAAAACCTGCTCTGAATTGTAAAATAAAAAATGCAGTAAAACTATGACATTGTTTAATTAGAAAATTTTTAATTGCTTTTATCAATAAGATATATTAAGGACACTATTGTCTTATGAAAAAAAAAACTTTTTCAATGAATAATGAATTTTTACAATTGTTTCCTTTTTTAAAAAATTTTAATTAGAATAATTCATTAAGTTTTAAGTCTTAAAATTCTATATTATTTCAGCCTCTCATCATTAAGTAAAACCTATATTTACTAATGATAAATGGAAAAGTTTAGTACAAGTCATCAGACACCAATATTTTTAAAAGGATTTTGAATTTTTTTGTATGTGTATTATTCATACATGACATTACCTGAAAATAAGAGAAATAACTATAGTAAATTTAAAGCCAGATAATATCTAAAATTCTACATTGATTACATCACTATTGCAGCCTAAGTCTCTATTGAGTGATATGCATATAACCTCTGTCCATGGTTTTTTTCATCGTTCCTCACAAAGCATGTGGACTTGATGGTATCCTTACAAGTCCTTATGAAATGTGCTCCTGAACTGTCTCCG